AAATAAGCCTTAATGGATGCAATAACTGTATTTTAGACACCATGCTATCTTCATGTCGCTCATCATGCCATTCAATTTCGGAAAAAATAGTAAGTCGAACTATCTTTACTCTGCATAATACAAGGTTACAAATATGCCAAAATAATTCTGATTTTAATAATTGAAAAATATAATGTGGTAATCACACTTTTGGGCCCGATACTGGAAACTTACTTATATATGTATATGCTCAGTATGGACTCGATTTTCAGGTTGTCACTTGACAAAACAGCCCCTTTCACAATACACTTATAACCGTTTTACTAGGTCCACCTTTCTGCTGTTATTTACAGACCCTCGTCTATTTAGTTCTTGTTTTAGTTTTCCAACAGACCATCAGTATTATTTGTCCGCCATTTTGTCTTCTGTAGCAACCTATAGTAAACGCGCACCACAAGGTGTGTAGGGTCGCAGCGGGAACCAATAACCCCCTTCAGTAGTTTTCTAAATCCCGACTCAAAACGTTGTAGAAGAGTATTGTGACGTCATCAGTGAGGACCTCACTATGACTACCCTCAAGGTAAAGAGGTCACTCGCAATAAGCATGGTTTTATTATGAGTGTAGGCTGTGCCTCATTTTTTTTTTAGTTAAACGTTCTAGCAACAGCCCTCGTCGTATGTGGACGGGTGCCTAGGGAAACAGAAAGAAGATAGAAAAGATCGCAAATGTTGCAATGGGGGCAGCATATCAATTTTAAGTGTCTTCTATGTCCCTTCGTAGCAGGCAAAGAAGACACACACACCCNACATTAGTCGCCTTTATTGATACACAATTGATTTCTTCAATATCCCCTAAATAGAGGACAAGGCAGTAACCACTTCTGATTTTACTGGGGACTCTCATTAGTTGCCTCGTACGGTCATGCAGTGGGATACAGCATTTCTATTAAATCATCACTCAAACATCAGATTTCAACACTTTTTGTAGAGAAATTATTCAAATGGAATCGCCTGATGCACATGGTAAGTGCCTTCACAGGAGAAGGCCCTTATTCTTTGTGGCATCAGAACACGCAATTACAAGGTGACTTGCCTCCTTGTAATAACGCGGATCTGATGCCGACTGTATAGTGCTATTTCACTGAAACAAAATGTCGAAGGCACACTGCACAGCATTCAGCCCGGTCACATTATACTGACAACGGGCTGAACTAGTGGTTGCCATTACCCTAAATCCTGAACGTAAAGCAGCGAATAACTACAATTTTTAAGGACTTGGGTATGTCCCAGCCCCGAGACAGAACACAATGCCTTCCTCACCTGGGCGAACGAAGTAGAAAGAAAGATAAAAATCCCAAATATTGCAGCAGCAGATTTTTTTTTGTCGCTTTTGTGTCCCGAAATAGATGACACATAAGCAAATCCCCAATTATGTGGGTTCCGCTCATTAGTCGCCTCTGCTGAGCTGTAGTTGGAGCAGAAAGGAAATGATTACGACCAGACTTTCATGTTTTTGCCAACAATGTTTCTATGGTCTGCTAGACAGATACCAACAAATGGCTACGTTAGCAAGAATTAGACGCCGAATCAGACAAAAAAGACGAAAGCGAGTATTCTTACTGCGCGTAAATATGGACGGAATGTCAAGAGAAGAGACGTTTTCCAGGTATCGGTTTTCTCACGAGACATTGCTTTATATAGTGGGTCTGATACAGACAGCCATATCAGGCCATCACATAGTAACAATTCACTAACTCCCCTAGAGCAAGTGCTTTTGACCCTCCGTTTCCTTTCCACTGGTGCCTTTTTCCGTCTCATTGGCGATTCTGTAGGAATATCTGAAAGTCAGGTCTCAAGAACTGTGATGTCGGTATGTTCAGCGATTGCCACCTTGGCAAACCACTTAATCCGCATGCCAGTTGTAGCAGAAGCAACGAAGGTGAAAGCAGACTTCTACAGAATAGCAGGTAAGATATTCTCATCCTTATAATTTGTGCGTTATTCACTGTTTTGGTGACGACAACATTCGGCTGTGTGTAAAAGTTAACCCGAAAGTCCGGTTACGCTTATGCGGTGACGTGCAATAGAACAAACAAAAAAAACATTATATAATTTCCGAACACAACAAATTGAACAAGCTTTTAACATATCGATCTTTTCACATACTCCCATCCTTAATGTATGCATTATTCACAGTTTTGGTTACGACAGTATCCGACTGTGTGTAAAAATGAACCCGAAGTCCGATTAAGCTTACCTAATGCGGTGATGAGGAATGGAACAAACAAATTAACATTCTGTAATTACCAATAGAAACACAACACCTAGAACAAATTTGCAAATAAACATTTAATAAATGGTGTATAACAGGCATGTTCACATACTTCCTTCAGTTAGTGTTTTTAACTTTATTTGGAAATGTAAAATTTGCACAATTTTAATTTTATTAAATTATGTTTTTAATCTCACACCAGTTACCTTAAACTACGTGAATTTATACACAACATACACAAGAAATAATTCTAGAACTGGTTTATTAAAATTTAGTTTCTTGAGTATAACAAATCTTACTTTGGCTCTTCTTTAGGGCTACTCACCATTAAGTAATCTTTTACATAATAGAAACTAGAAACATAATGCAATGTCACCTGCATGTATCTTGTAAATTGCACCATTACCAAAAACCAATCTTATACCAAATTATCCAATAATTGTGTGATCTTAATAAAAGCAAAGAATAATTATTAGCTGAATTGGGAAAGAATTCCATTGAATTCTAATGGCCACTATATAGCTCAACAACCTGGAACAGGTTATGTATAACAAGACCCTCGAACAGGGTATACATTACTATATAGCTAAAAACCCGGGACAGGGTTTACACTACTATATGAATAAAACATGCTGGAGCAGGTTATGTATAACAAGCCTCGGGGAACAGGGTATACAGTACTATATAGCTAAACAACCTGGACAGGTTATGTATAACAAGCCCCAGAGAACAGGGTATACATGGACTATTTAACTAAATAACCTTGAACAGGTTATTTATAACAAGCCCTATGGAACAGGTTATGTATAACAAGCCCCAGGGAACAGGGTATACAGTAATATATATAGCTAAACAACCTGGAACAGGTTAAGTATAACAAGCCCCATGGAACAGGGTATACAGTACTATATAGCTAAACATGTTTGTTTGTTTGTTTGATTTTGTTTAACGTCCTATTAACGTCCTAGCTAAGGTCATTTAAGGACGGCCTCCCCTGTGTGCAAGATGCATGCGTGTAGTGTAAGTGTGTGTATTTTGGGAGGCTGCGATATGTTCGTGTTTGTATCCTTGTGATAGCGCGGAACTGATGCCGACTTTATAGTGCTACCTCACTGAGACATACTGCCGAAGACACCCAGCAGGACGCCCCACCCGGTCACATTATACTGACAACGGGCGAACCAGTCGTCCCACTCCTAATTTGCTGAGCGTTAAGCAACCTGGAACAGGTTAAGTATAAATACCCTGGAACAGTACACCAGTAACCTTAAAAGTGGGCTACGGTCAAACACTTAAAGTATGGGTTAAAATGAGCTACGGGCCAAGCATCACCGCTTTTGGTTAATAAGAAGAATTTGATTTCAATTTTTTTTTCAACATTTGACCCCTGTTACCTTGAAAGTGTGACAATGTCATTCATTTGAACACTTTTTTGTCACCTATCGTCCAAACATGCATCAACCCATGCCTACGAGACATTTGACCCTTTGACATTGAAAGTAGGTCAAGGTCATTCATAGGAACAAACTCAGTCGCCATGCATCCCATTATTGTATTGGCCAAATTTTATCAACCTAGGCCTATTGGTTGTTGAGAAGAAGTTGTTTAAATAAACAAGCTGAAGCCGGCCACACAAACGGAGAACAGTGCCCTTCAGGCCAGGTGAGCTAAAACTGATGAGGCCTATATGAAGAAAAATAATGACAGCTTAATGACTTAAGTTTTATGTTACATCTTTGCTGTATAAACATATGTATATTATGCACATACACATCAAAAGTGTTCACAAGGAGTATACATTTAAAGTCATGCATCTACATACATTGTATACATCATGACAAGTTCGCAAACTCCCATTCATAATTTATAAATCAAGAAAAATTGTGACATGAACAAAGTATACACTGGCATGTTCACATTATTAGAAGTTTATGTTGCCAAGTATGATTATGTAATCTATATATAATACATAATACACAATACCAATAGTATGTTTTTATAATATATCATAAATGGTTATGGTCTATACTCAATTTCTTCTTCATTTACAGATATTCACAATTTTCAAATATTTTAGGATTCCCTAATGTACTAAGCTGTGTGGATGGCACATTTATCAAGATTCAGGCACAACATGAAAATGAAGCTGATTTCATCAACGGAAAAGGCTATCACTCACTTAATGTACAGGTACTGGTGTTAATCAAATTCAAAATAATTTAAATCCCTTGAAAAAATGGTCAACATTCTATAACATAAAACAGTCATCAAATAAGGAAAGCCATGTGTGACCAAAATCAAACAGTTTTTAAATTGTGTATGTTGTTTAGGTGATGAATATCTGCAGCAAATATGTTTTGCATGATGATAAAATTTTAAAGCTGCAATTTATTTAAACTTTTCCTCTGTATGTTACTTTAAAATGGAATATACTTTCTTAAAGCATATGTGAATAAAAAACTATGTCATTGTTTTTTTAGATGGCATGTGACTCCAGGTACAGGGTCACCAATGTGGTGGCAAAATGGCCAGGATCTGTCCATGATGCTAGACTCTTCAGAGGGTCACATGTCTGCTTTAAATTTGAAAATGGCAAGTAAAATAAACTTTTGAAATACAGAAGTAAAAAAATAATATTTTGTTCTTGTACATTTCTGTGGCAGTGCTATGTATTTTAGGTTATTTTGTAATAAGAGTTTAATTCAAATTATTAAACTATATAGTATTGTCTTAAGTGAGAATGCTTAAGTTGTACGTATGTCTGACGTACTTAACTATTTTTATATACCGATTCTCGTACTCGTTCAACCGGTTTGTCTGGTCAACGTGTGTCTCAAGTGTTTGTTACCTGTGCTGTTTTGTTATGTAAATGTCTTGTCACGTGATCGCATGTCAGCTCGTGCACTTGTACGTCTTGTATCTTCACTCCCGCACTGGACAGAGACCGGACCAGACATAGAAACCTATACCGACATATATGATACCGACTGCGGTGAACAGAACTCTACTTATTTCAGAGTAAGTGTATGAAACATATTAGTATTGAGCTATTTGAAATACTATGTTTTAGAGTAACCTTTATGGAATTAGTATGTTTGCATTTGTTAAAATATTTGAAGAAGTTAAAATATCTTTCTTTGATAAACGTATTTTTGGGTGTGGTTTCCATTATCTTTTTATGGAAACTGTAATTCACTCTAAAGTATTTTAAAAGTAATTTGCTAAACATGTTTATTATATATTAAGTTTTGCTGTTTTCCTTTTCAACAGAACCATAGACCTATTATGTAGGCAACGTATATTATACGTAGAGCTATCATCATTAGACCCCTGTCGGAGCGATAGGGTAGTTATTGTTAATATAAGGCACTATTTAATTATCTCGTAATTATCATAGTTCATGTGCAAAATTGGTAAATTCTATAATTTATCATGTAAAAGTATTTCAAATGTATTGTATTAAATTCGTAATGTTAATTGCAACCGTTACGGGTATCGTGTATCTTTATGTAAAGCTAATTTTATGTCCATTGTATAATGTAGATTTTTTTATGTATTGAATATGTGCTTATATGTTTTATTTGTGCTATTTTAGGGTCTTTCGACTCCAATAAAACGATTGAATAACTAGGAATTTGCTTCTTCGTGATTTGTAAGAATTTGTGTAGCACCTGAACACGGCTACATTTTGGCGCCCACGTATTTTGACACGCAGGATTCTGGAGCCTCGCTTTGGAGCACTGGAGCAGCTGTGTATCCTTGACCTTCAAGGTCGATATTAGAGCTTCCGGTGGAACAACGTTTTGTTGTGTTGATCAGATGATCATGGATTTATTCGAAGGATACCGGAGTGGACGTGCCGTTTGGTAATTATTATTGTTAATTCAGTGACATTTTATGTTTGCAAGAAGATGGTATGCGGAATGGAAGATGTCATTTCATATAAAAGCTGTATTTCATCGTAACATTTGTTGTGTATTTCTACATCGCGTTACGCGTGTATGCTACACAGGTAAATCTAGATCTGTGAATTCAGTGACGACCATGTCATGCCTGAGTGAACAACGCCTGTTTTGAACTGTAGCTGTCACGAGTGTATTTGTTAATATCCCATAGACTTTTACTCGTGAACTCTGACATTCGTTTTACACTTATGTATTGTGATTATTTACTTTTCTCGTTATTCTTAGCTGTGTGTATATTTTGAATTTCCCGTAGTTAGATATGATGGCTTAGGCATAGTTTAGGAAGTAGAAACATTTTATGTTTTGACTTTATTTATATCCTGTATGGTCGGATTACTAGATTCACATTATTTCCTTTTGAAACTTTGTTGATTTGATTATTTTTTTTTTCTCTCTCTTTGATTTTCGATTTTGATAGACTTTATGAATTTGTTTTTTTATTTATGGTTATTTATCTATTTTCAGTATTACTTGAAATATTTACTTGAGATCTGCGGTCTATGATTTGAAATTATTTTTGATAGAATTTTTCTTTATTAGTGTAAATTTTGTTTCATACTTTTCATTTTTTTATTCAAAATTTAGGTTCTTTTTGTAGTGGAACAGATTTCCCATAGATATTGCTTGCTCTGTCACCATTTGACTGACAATAAGTTGACTAGACCTCACGAGTAACAGTTACTGATTTTTAGGACACATTTATGTTTCATGTTGCACTTTCTATATGTTACATGTGTTGTGTTTGTGTTGATTTTGTGTAACCGGTGGTCTATATTGCTCATTGGATATCGGCTATTATTTTACAGCAGTTGGACATCTGGAATAAATACTTGGAGACTGTGTCAGGTAAAACCCAGTGGTCATTGTATATACTAGCTAGGTATTTTGACTAAATATATGGTTTATTTACAGTTGATGTCTGTTTTAGTACAAATGTACTGGTAAGTTGGGATCTCGAGACTCGTGTTTATCAGATTGTATTTATTTTCAGGTTTATTGTTTACAATTATTTTTGTCAATTAGGTTTATTGTATCTGTTATCATCTTACTTATTCACCATGTCGTTTGACAAATCATTTTCGGACAAGGATGTTGAGGTTATTACAGCTACCCTTTTAGCTATGGGTTACAAGCCACAGGAAGGCCAACTTAGTTCTGAGGAACTCCGGTCATGGATTAGGTCCAAGGAAACTATTAAGGATCCTAAACAGGAAGATGGAGCTTGTGCCTTGTCTACTCCCACGGTTACAGTCAGTCCGCCTGTGAGGATTTCCATCTTTTCTGGGGAGGAAAAGGACACATCCTATGATTTATGGAAACATGAAGTAGAGTCCTTACTGTTATCTCATGGTGAAGATGTGGTGACTCATGCACTTCGAAGATCTCTGAAGGGAAAAGCTGGAATAGTTGTCATGCATCTTGGATTGAGAGTTTCAGTGAGGGATATTCTTACCAAGATGGACAGTATCTTTGGCACTGTGGAAAAAGGTGAAGCACTTCTAGCACAGTTCTATAGCGCTCGCCAGAAGGAGGGTGAGGATGCTGCCTCATGGAGTTGCAGACTGGAGGATATATTGAATAAAGCTGTGAAGGGAAGAGAGGTGACTTACGCCTACACAGGGGATATGCTGAGGACCATGTTTTGGACAGGTCTTAGAAGAGATTTAAAAGATATTACAGGTCATAAGTATGATGCTATCCAGGACTTTGATCAGCTTGTGATTGCAGTACGCCAGGTGGAGCAAGATCTCAAGAAGAGGGAGGAGGAAACTCAGACTAAGAAGCCTCGCACTGAAGACTTGAAGACAACGACAAAGCCCAATCCTGCTTGCATGGCTAGTGCTGAAGCAACAGATGATATAAAGGAAATGAAGGGGATGATAAAGCAGTTGACTGCAGATATGACCAAGATGAAGAAGACTACTAATCAGTATCAGAAGTTCAACTCGAAGTCTGGAGATAGTAAGTCGTGGACCAATCAACAAGGACAGCAGCCTCAACAGCGACATCTGTTTAACAGACACCAGTCAGAAGCAGCACAACCGCATGAAGATGGCCCACTGTGTTGGCGATGTGGACAGAGAGGTCATATTAAACTTGGATGTCGTGTCAGGATAGACCATTTAAACGGGGAGAAGCCTACGAAGAAGTGCAGTTCGTAGGCTATGAGAGAAGAGTCCTTAACTATCAAGCACAGGATGGAAGAAAACAGGTACCTGGAGAGTTGGTGGGTTCACCAAATGAAGCATCAGTGTTTCTTGCCAAGAGTAACATCCAAGCTCTTCTGGACACAGGATCTACTGTCTCAACGATTTCAGAACAGTATTACAGAAGCTTCTTGTCAGATGCCTGCCAGCTCCTGCCCGTGACAGGTCTCCTGAATGTAGAGTGTGCTGATGGTAACCTCTTGCCATACTCTGGATATATAGAGACAGAAGTAGCTAAACCAGGACTTTGTTGGGAGTCACTGGCCTGTTTATTGTTAGTCGTCCCGGATAGCAGTTATAACTCCGCAGTTCCTTTGTTACTTGGTACCAATGTACTGTTCCCTTTGATGTATGCTTGTAAAGGTAAGTATGGAGCAAGATTTCTACAGCAGGCCGATCTTCATTCACCCTGGTATCTCGCGTTCAGATGTTTGTCCTTGAGGGAACGGGAGTTGGGCAGGAATGAAAACCGACTTGGACTCGTTAGATGTGCAGAGACAAACAGCATTGTTAATCTGAAGGGTTACATCGATAAAGGAATTGGCTACCATCGGACATGTGCCATGCTGCAACCATCGAAGTTAGCCACCATGTCATCGTTATTAGATTTGACACCGGGGGTCATAGATTTCGATGATAATCACCGAGCTGTCTCAGTATTGTATTAAATTCGTAATGTTTATTGCAACCGTTACGGGTATCGTGTATCTTTATGTAAAGCTAATTTGATGTCCATTGTATAATGTAGATCTTTTATGTATTGAATATGTGCTTATATGTTTTATTTGTGCTATTGCAGGGTCTTTCGACTCCAATAAAACGATTGCATAACTGGGAATTTGCTTCTTCGTGATTTGTAAGAATCTGTGCAGCACCTGAACCCGGCTATCATAAAAAAAACCTTTATTGTTGTATGAACCAGCAAAACTGAGAGTATCCAGAATTGCATTGGTTTTAGTGCTAGACACAAAAATCTCTGTTTTAGCATAGTTTTATATATATGACTTCTTTAGACAACATGTCCGTTACCATAATTGTTTTTCTCTAATTTCAACATCAACAATACTTGTATTACAAAGTTGTGTACTGAGAACCACTGATTTGTTATTATGTGATGTCATCTATTTAAATCTTTCTTGTTACTAGCATGGGTCAAATCATGTTTATATTGCAAATCTGCAATGAGCTAGTAAGTTTAAGCTTACTTACTCTGAACTATTTATACATTACAGGTAATTATGATAGAAGTTTACAAGGACTCTGGATACCCCTGTACAATGTTCCTTATTACACCTTACAGCCATCCATCTACGCCATCACACATCAAGTAAAATGATGCTTTATGCAAGAGCAGATTAAAAAATGAACAGACTTTTGGAATTTTGAAAAGAAGACTTGCTTGTTTGTCACTTAGTTTGCGTGTTGAGCCCAGGAAGGCTACCATCATAACATTGGCCTGTGCTGTTCTGCACAATATTGGAATTGACAAGAATGAAATTATTTGTTAACCAGAAGAGTACGAGGAAAGTAATGAAGATGTTTGGACCTGTATGAATAATGAGGGCAATGGGAACGCTATGCGTGACCATATCAGATCAACATATTTCCTGTGATTTTGTATGAAAATATATCTGAACAGAACTGAGTATAGTTCTACTGGTTAATACAATGTATAAAGTTATTCATAAGGAGTATATTTTATTATAATGTTATGAAGAACTCGTTACTGTCTTATAAAAGTTGATTCCTGAATTCGCTAAATTGGCTACATGTATATAAAACAAACAAAAATAGCCATGAAGAAAAAGAAGACCTATGATTCCGATTTTTCTTCATATAACAGATCAAATGCCTTAACAGTTTGAAACCGATTCTTCATTAGAGCCTTCTGTTCCTTAGCAATTTCTGTCTTGAATTTGGTCTTCTCTTTTCATGGCAAGAAGCTCTATCGTTATTTTCACTCTTTTGGTTACTAACTCCAGAATTTCTTTCTAAAGCTGGTCACGCTTACTTCAGATCTCTTCAGATTTCTTTTTGAAGTACCTGTGATAAAATAATCTATATTATAAAACTGTAGTGTTACTGGTCTTTGTAGTACGTTTACAGCACACAGCATTCTTCTAATTCAAACAGTTATATATGACCACAAATATTAAATGAGTTTTATTCCTTATGAGATGTAGAAAATGGTACTCTCACAAAGACCATTTATTGGAAGTTATGCTTCCAGGTTCCTACAATAAAATAAAAAAGCATCTGTTTTAAGGTCCAATGACTATTCTTCTACTTAAACATCTCCATATGATGTACTTCATTTGTGCAAATTCATGTAAATCAAGTGATGTAAAAGAAGCGAAAAATCACAGAGACATATAGATGAAAAGACCAATGGACAAACAGTGTATTCCTATATATTTTTGTAGTTAACAATCCCTACTACCCCAGCAAATTTGAATAGAATTAGAATAATTTGTTATAAATCACATTCTATCCTAGTATTCAATACTTGCATTTCACAGAAAAACTTGTCAGTTGATGTTTTTAAATGTTCTTATATGGAGAAATAATGAGTAGTTACATACTATGCATCATGATCTACAGTTATGTTATTGAAAAGTGATATGTTTTGTTGATTACCAGTTGGCCTAATTTTAAAACACCTATGGACATGATATAACACAAGCAAATAGTAAGTGTTTATGAAAGATTGCCTTGCTAAAAAAGAAAAATTCAGGTGACTTGACATCATTGCATGCCTAGCTTCATGAAGTGTCACAATAGACTGCATGACTACTATCTTCTTTCTGTGATTCATATTAAATTAACATTCAGTGTAACCATAAAAAGTAAAACAGATCAAGTAACAGTACAGTACCTGTTGGTGTGATCCTGTCAGTGGTACCAGTACACCTCGCTGATATTAATGTATCATCTTCTTCTTCTAGGGGATTCAATATGATTCCAAGATGTGTTTAACCAACACAGAGTCAGTACATTTCATAGTGATGATGATCATAACCATTCTTCATCTTTTTTCATGAAAGTAACCAGTGAAATATCTGTAGTAGGAGAGTGTTTTTACCAGCTATTGGCTACAAATAAATCCCCTTGTGGATTAAAACACTTTCCAGATTGCAAATTGTAGGGAATTTAAATATTTGTTTTTCATTCTGAAAAAATTCTGGTTCAATTAAGTGGAGGCTCAATTACATATACTCCCCTGCCACTCCCTTTTCTGTCACCCTGCATTGCTTGTGACATTTGACCCTTTATCCTTGACCAATGTTATTCCTTAAATCAAATCTTATCTCATATTTTAATAGACATCTATGATACTCTGTACCTGTTAAGTATATAATTCTACTTGATAAAGATTACATTTCTGAGAAGATGATGGTAAAACATCATCTTAAATAGATATATAACATCATTCCACAAAGTACTCAATACAGTTATTTTTATAAAATAAAATGAATTTGTTCTTATGAGCCAGCTTGATTCTGATACGCAACAAAAATTAACACTATTGCAAAATAAATATACATTTGTATCCACAAATCCTGGAAACGTGATACAGTAGTTTTCAATGTCACCTTGCATTACTGTATGTTGCTATTGACATTCCACTGTCCCTAGCACCAATCAAGAGAGTGACAGCTGCTAGCCGTTTTTATTTTCTTCTAAATCAATCACTTTTCTGCATTGTACTTAACATTTTATTGAAGTTGCATGTACCATATCATAATTTTCTTTTAACATGGGTTTCTAATATTTACATCTTCATTGGTTAGTATTAAACCAGTCCTAAAAAATCACCTATGCTTAATTATGCCTTTTTGGTTAATATACTGTTTTAAAAGGAAGTTGAAAATTAATAATGAAATTTATTGGTAAAGGAGTTGTGACAATAATAATGTGTAGTGGTAATACTGAAAGGTATGCACCTAGAATGACATGATAAAGGGTAATTTGTCTAAAGATGGAAAAGTATAGGTTATAAAGAACTATACTTTATGTATGTATGTTTGTATGTATGTAAATATGTGTGAACATGTATGTGTGTGATAGATAAAATGCAACTTATAATAAAGTATAACCATACAGATATGATATTAGACAACAGTTTCACTGTATAGGATTCTGTACACATTCAGTGTATTGTACATTTTCTTTTGAAAAAGAAAATAATAATAAAAATTCTACAATGTAATGGATCATCATCATCTTTTGTTTCATTTTATTATTTCATAAATTAAAAACAAAACACTACAGTCATTTATTTTTTACCTTCTGTGTCCAGAGAGGTTCCTAACCCCACTATGTTGAGCCTGCCATCATGGCTATTAATACAAATATTTTCACATGGTGAGGGTTCTGGGGCTGGACCACCACCTGTTTTTGGCCTCCTCATTTCATCTAGCTTGCCTTTTGCTGTGAAAAGGAAAAAAATGTAGTATTTGAATGATTTATTAGACCTTAATCTTTATACATAATATATAGGCAAAGAATTTGAAATGTAAACTGACCGGATGTACAGTTGTATATCGTATCTTGTATTGAGATAAGATTTTTTGTTGTTGCAAGTATGGCTCACCACAGCAAAATATAAATTACAGTATGGATCACCAGGATAATATCAAGTCATAGGACCATGATATGCCTGCTACTTACCTGGTAGAAATCAAATCGAACGAATGCATAACATTAACAAATATACCAATTTGCACATTAATGGACAGTTTCAGCTAGGGGACATAACATTTAGTCCCAGTTCTCAAAACAAAAGCTTTACATTTTCATTGATGCTAGTGGTAGCCCGATATCCCAAAATGCAGTGAATGTGTGCATCGCTGAATTTAATATTTATTATTAATTTAAATAGATATAATTTTTTGAACTTGATATTGCTTTGACATGTGCTAATCTATGTTATTTCAAAGATATTGCGTTCAAAGACTTGGATGTGCATATGCATCTAAAATGTTTTCAATAAAATTGGTGTATGTTTGTTATCCAACACTATAAAGAGCTCAAGTGCAATGGCATGAAATGAAATTCTAGCCTAACACTGACAGACACTAATGGGACATAATTCATATTTCAACATATGTGTACAGTGGGTTTATTTCACCAATTTGTTGGAGTATATCATAGAAATCTGGAGAGATGTTTATTATACATTTGAATTTACACAATTATCTCTAAAATCATTTCTTTATTCCATATCCCAACAACGATGAGGCATCAGTACTGTACATCATACAAATAGAGCAATTAATGACATGTACAGGCTGTAATATAGATTATATGTTGTGTATAGGTGAAAATATGTTTCTCTCTGCCTGAAGTTATCAAATTGCTTCTTTATTTGAAGTGTTGCACTTATTTCTACTCCAACACCGATTTATTTTTATAAATGCTTTCTCAATAAATGCAATATTTAATTGGAAAAGAAAAAAGATCATAAATGAAAGGCAATTCAAATATTTGGAATCCTTTAGCAGAAATTGCTAAAACCCTATATATTTCTTCGGCAATTAAGAATTGGCTTTAGCAAACTCAACGAATACCAGAGTCTTTGATAAATTTAACATTTTACTTCTTTATCCTTTTAATTAAACAGTGTTTATAAACTTTGTCATCATCATATATCTTTTCTTTCCTTGTTTTCTTTTTACCCCATATAATAACATCTAGAGAAGATAGAATTAGAAGTCATATAAATCAGAAAAATTCAAATGTATATTATCAATTTTATCATTCATAATCAATCATTAAACATCAGAGTTTAGTTCATCAACTCTGGTCTAAACCTGACATAATCCCCTCCATTCAGGGGGTTGGTGTTTCCCAAAGAAAAAAGACATAATTCGCACCTCTCAGAGAACATCCTGACCTATTTTACAGAGTCAGGTATCAATAACTGTGTTGTCAGTATGTTCAGCGATTGCCAGCTTGGCAAGATGCTTCATCCGCATGCCAGTTGGAGCAGCAGTATGGAAGGTGAAAGCAGACAAATATTGCAGGTTAAATATTTTAATCCTTAATTTGTGCATTATTCACAATTTTGGTGACAATAACATCCGGCTGTGTGTAAAAATGAACCTGAAGTCCGCTTACGCTTATGTGGTGACGTGCAATTGAACAAAAATAAAAGATTCTGTAATGTCCTCACAAACATACACTTCTCTGATTACTTTTGTATCTAAGGACACTTCATATCATCACATCAGCGTAATTGATAACTTTAAAGCCATGAATTAAAAACAAAATCCACTGAATGCAGAATCATTTTCATGTAAATTGACATTATTCCAAGATAAACAGCAAATAAAAAGAATAGACAATTTTGAAAAGGAAGATAACAATTTTTAGACAAAAGTGTAAATGATTTGTTATTTGAAAAAATATAATCTTTGCAATGTTTCACCTCGATATGTGCATTTTCTTGTAAGAAAGCAAAACATAACAAAAGGGGACCTGCATCGCTCACCTGGATACTTAAGCAACCACGGGAATTTATTCTCATTACATACAATCCCTCAAATGGTCACCCCTGCAGGTGGGAGATCGGGAAAACAATACACCTGTTGTTACCCACGGTGTGTAGCGTAGGAGGCGACTAATGAGGGATCCCCGAATTGGGTATTTTCTTTGGGGTCCTCGATTTTGGGGCACAAAAGCGACCAAAATAGATATGCTGCACCCATTGCAGTATACGGGATCTTTATCTTTCTTTCTACTTCTAACATTCAAATCACCCTGCGTCCGTGGTCCGTCGTCCGTCCGTAAACAATTCTTGTTATCGGTATTTCTCAAGAAGTACCAGAGGGATCTTTCTCAAATTTTATATGCAGGTTCCCCTTGGTCCTTAGCTGTGCAGGGCAACTTTTGAGACTGATCGGATAAACAACATGGCCGACAGGCAGCCATCTTGGATTTTGATAGTGAAAGTTTGTTATCGCTATTTCTCAAGAAGTACCAGAGGGATCTTTCTCAAATTTTATATGTAGGTTCCCCTTGGTCCTTAGCTGTGCAGGGCAACTTTTGAGACTGATCGGATAAACAACATGGCCGACAGGCAGCCATCTTGGATTTTGATAGTGAAAGTTTGTTATCGCTATTTCTCAAGAAGTACCAGAGGGATCTTTCTCAAATTTTATATGTAGGTTCCCCTTGGTCCTTAGCTGTGCAGGGCAACTTTTGAGACTGATCGGATAAACAACATGGCCGACAGGCAGCCATCTTGGATTTTGATAGTGAAAGTTTGTTATCGCTATTTCTCAAGAAGTACCAGAGGGATCTTTCTCAAATTTTATATGTAGGTTCCCCTTGGTCCTTAGCTGTGCAGGGCAACTTTTGAGACTGATCGGATAAACAACATGGCCGACAGGCAGCCATCTTGGATTTTGATAGTGAAAGTTTGTTATCGCTATTTCTCAAGAAGTACCAGAGGGATCTTTCTCAAATTTTATATGTAGGTTCCCCTTGGTCCTTAGCTGTGCAGGGCAATTTTTGAGACTGATCGGATAAACAACATGGCCGACAGGTAGCCATCTTGGATTTTGATAGTGTGGGTTTGTTACCGCTATTTCTCCGGAAGAACTAGAGGGATCTTTCTTAAATTTTATATGTAGGTTCCCCTTGGTCCTAGCTGTGCAGGGCAATTTTAGAGACTGATCGGATAAACAACATGGCCGACAGGCAGCCATCTTGGATTTTGATAGTGAAAGTTTGTTAGCGCTATTTCTCGGGAAGTACGGGAGGGAACTTTCTCAAATTTTAAATGTAGTTTTCCCATGATCTCTCGTTGTTTATGTTATATTTTGAGACTGATCATAAAAACAAAATGGATTAAAAGAAGAACTAAACAGATCTTTCTCATATTGCAATGATCGATTCTATTTCTTTCACATTAAGTACTGTACTAGGAAATATGTGAAATGACAAACTCACTTTGAAGGGTGGCTTTCATACCCATCAGTATTAAGTTTAGATCAAAAGTTACCTCAAGGTGCATTTACTGTTAACATGACTCGATCAAACAGATTAGAGGAAAGAAGAGAAAAGATCGAACTGACAAAGAACTAATGAAGATGGTACAAAGGTTGGCGCCAATATTCCTCTGGGATCTCTTGTATTTCCTAGCGCCTTGCTTGGCAACACCTTACTTAGGGCCTTGATGTTGAGCGGTTCTGTCCCAAGGTAGGGATTTGGTTTTGTTTAGTATTGTTTAACGTCCTATCCACAGCTATGGTCATTTAAGGACGGCCTCCCCTGTGAGCAAGATACATGCGTGTGTGTTTTGGGAGGCTGCGATATGTTCGTGTTTGTCTCCTTGTAACAGTGCTTTCCCTTTACCAAAAAGTCCTTTTGTCTATTTTTTTCTTTTCCAGACCAACCAGTTTCATCACAATTGAAAATACATTGTGGCTTCCTTTGAAGACCAAGTTTTTCAACTGTGCTGGATAGCACACCAAAAAATTGGTCCTTGACCTTTTGGTTTGCCATCTTTCCTTCTTCTATCTTTTGCTTCTAACTCCCTCTCAGATAATTCAGGGTGCCTTTTCGAAAATCCCCTGAACCATTTATCACTGGGCACCTTTTATAAAGTAAAAATTTGTAGCCCTCTCATCACTCTTGCACAATACATGGCTGTACTGTCACACCATTTGCCGACTGATTTGGAAGCCTTGTCGTGCCATATACATTAAATAGTTTGTGAGGGCAGTTTCCTCTTCTGCTGTTAGAGCAGTACCAAGCCCCGGATTCATTTTTATATCGGGCATCTTCACATGGTCATCTTTAATAGAAAATGTGTTAAATTTTATTTACATTCTTTTCAAAGGTGATTACATATCCTTCAGTTTTTACCTTATCTAATTGATAAAATAATAAATTACAAAGATTTCTCCCTTAATAAGGAAAGCATGAGATTTGAAAAGACATTACAATTGCATGATTATCTTTTTTAAATTGTAAACAAATGCAGTTAAAAATAACACAAATTATATTGTGATTCACTGGTATAGAAGGAAGATATACCTAAAGTTTGTCTTGGCACTTGAAACGCCTTGGCAGCTTTACTTGTGGTCATCTATTTAGTTTGTACTGCAGAAACAGCAATCCGCAGTGTTTTTGTTGTGTAGCCTCTTGTTGTTTAATTTTACTGAGTGTTTAGGACAAACTATTACACATTTGAACGAATGAATTAAA